ACAGCAGCAGTCCTGGAGTTGAGGAAGTTGACCCCATGTCTGTGGATGATGTCACCAAGGGGGAGCATGTAGATATTAAAGAGGAGAGGGCCAAGGACAGAGTCCTGGGGGACGGCAGACATGACAATGCGAGGGCTGGAGGAGAAACCGTTAGAGGCAGCAAAGTGGAGACGGTGAGAGAGATAGGAATCGAACCAGGCAAGGGCAGTATTTTTCAATAACAGTAAGTCTTATTCTGTGACACTTAACATGTTCCATATTTCAAATCCCTAAACTGTTCACTTGAGAATCGTGGCTTAATGGCTCATATCATTCAAAACATTCTGTATCTTATTTAGAAGAGCTTGCTGTCACACCCTGTAGCTGGACTGAGTATTTTGTTCAATGGAAGTGAGGTGTACAGTTCTGAAGATTTGTTTCCCAATTTGATTGAGAAAGACTCTTTTGGGGGAGAAGAAAGAGGATTAGAAGAAAGTTCTAACAAAGAGAGGTTTAGCTTCAGTGTAGTATTTTATGATCCATTTGTCCACTTCCTGGGATGTCATAATAGCTTTCTTGTGTGTTGCGGAGTGAAATCTGAGAATGCTACTTGTGTTTGCGAAGTGTGGACAGGCTGGAGGATTGCATTCCTTAATCACTTGTGTCTGGGTTTGCTCATGATATATTCCAGCTGCACTTAATTTTGCACTTATGGTTGAGGGCATTCTCTTCAAGAATTTAGAAGGATTCGGGAGTAAATAATTATTTGTATCTCACCATTTTCTCCACTCTTCTCAAGGGTTTTGACTCCTTTCCTCTCCCCCCCCCCCCCCCCCCCCCCCCGCTTTTTTAATGGGGTAGAATTCCACGGACATCTATTGGCCTCTGGTACCTCACTCAAGTGGTTATTATTGTATGAGCCATAACAATAAGTGTTGGTGAGCTATTCATCCATGTTAGCAATCATGTTGTTGAAGGCAGTATACACCACTAAAAAAGGTTGTGCTGCTGGTAGTGTCCTGCCAGTGAAAATGTAACTGAATGTTAGAAAATGGGAAGGTAGTGATAGTGAATTTCTTGGCTCGTGATCGCAATTTTTAAGCCAGAGGTGGACTGAGCTTTTTAGTCAGTTTTCAGTAGCCTGTGAAATGATTTTATGCTAACACCTTCATGTTTTCCAGCCATTCATAAGATTATGGCTAGAAACCATGAAGCTGTAATGTTCCAAACTGACTTTAGAACTGTGCATATACAAGCTAGTTTGCACAGTTTTGAAGCAGAACCAGCCATTACAATATCCCCTGTGATATAAATAAAATTGCACAATATCCCTTGTTTGTTAGTCATTATTAAATAACTTTCATAGGGTTTGTTCTATCAAATTTAGCATCAAGCAGTAATTGCAGCTACCATTTTAGGATCTGTAATTGCATATTCCTAATATTATAACTCAAAATGTATATAGTGACTGCGTTACTCATGCATTGAGGATTATAATTTTGATCTTCCTTTTTGGAAATGGTCACCAATGGAGATAAGTATTCTCCCCAGAAGCCATAGCTTGAATTAATGTGCTTTTCAAAAAAAACTAGCAAAGAAAAAGTTAAAAAAATATTTTCTCTATGAAGAGAGAATGAACTTTCAATTTCAATTTTATTTAAGTGTGTTTATCAAATCTTACAAATGTTTTTGCCCATTCAGTAGATATGCATATTGTTTTTTTCCTAAAAACTTTAAAAATCAAATTCTGTTGCAAATTGTGAGTTGTTGCACTGCTTTTATTTGGTTATAGGCTGAATTTGCATCTGATTGTATAAATGCAAGGATCTTTGTTTAAAATATTACATAATTGAATTTTGATGTTTAGTAACATTACAGATATTTTTAAATTACTGAGGTCAGTATAGTGAGTTGTGGTATTCATGCTGTGAAGCATTGCTTTGGGCTACATTTTACTAAATGACATGCTTTCACGTAGTTGCTTCCTGTTGTCTTTAGTTTTGAAGTGCCAAGGGCATGCATTATATTCTCCTGATGGACAAAGTGCTAGAATCCTTTCATGTTCGCTGCAGACGGTCCAGATGGATTCTTAATGACTGGAATGTTTGACACTGCACCCTGGGAATTCAGGATAAAAGGACAACGCTTAGAACCTGCAGTTTTTTGCTACTTTCTCAAATTTCTGCAATAATTATGAAAGAGTAGCTATGATAATGTTGTGTAACTTTCTCTGTATCTCATCTGTCTTTCATTGGCTTGTGTATTACCCTTGCAATGGCACCCTGGCAGCTATGTACCATCTGATGATAAAGAGTCTCAAAGACCCATTTCAATTGTATTACCTGCAATTTGATGGTGTGTTGAAAAAAACTGAATTCCATCAGCTACTCGTGTACAGTTCTGAAAAAGAGGAAATTTGCCCAATGTTCTGCCCAATATTCCTCATTCATACAAATGTATTAAATTGACAAAGTAGATTTTTTTTTCTTTATCATTTTTGTAGTCTGCAACAGGTTCCATGCTTCTACAGATAAATCACTAAAATTCAAAGCAACATATTGTATCATGCATTTTGCGATGTGTCAATCAAAGGCTATTTATCAAATATAAGTATTGAGTTCAATATTTAATTAGCCATTAGTTGAACTGAAGGTAAAAGTTGACAATTAGTTAGTGTTCTGATGTTTTAATTTGTTTTTGAAGTGAGAAATTAATTCAGTTTGCAAGAGACTAATGTAACAGTGGCTTTGTTGAAACCCAAATTGAGTAATGTTCACCTATTTCTGTAAACAAATAACACTTCTCATGTAAATGTTTTATTTTTGTCAACTACAGTTGTTTCAGGAGTTAACAGAACTGGTGGAACTTAGGTAAATGCTTGCAATCGAATGCACAATGCACATGCGCATTAACAGCAACATTTGTAAATGAGAGCTTGTCAAGTTATGGAAATTAATGAGTCAAGCAATGAAACCAAAAGATTTGCAAATCCTAGAGATGGAGTGCTGATCCTCTGACTTAATATTAGAAATGGTAACTACATCACCTATAAGCAAGGAAGTGTTTGTCTTTGGTTGATGAACGACAGCAAGCAAGGTTTTTGAATAGTCCCATGGGATCTTTAACGTGCACCTGAACAGGCAGACAGGACGATGGCTTAATATTTCATCCAAAGGATGGCATCTCCGACAATGCAACACACCCCTATCACTGCACTGGAGCGTCCGTTTTGACTGAGAATTCAAGTAACAATTTGGGGTTTGAATCCGCAACCTTTTGGCCCAGAGGTGAGAGTGCCACCACTGAGCCAGGCTGACAGAATGGCAACAAATTTGACCCAATCTTGGTGGGTATAGGAATTTAGGTGGCAAAAGTTGAGATTATTGGTTTGGGAATATTTAGTTAACGTTATTCGTTGACCTCACAAAGTTGTTGTGAGCTGTAAGGATAAACAATTCAGTTAAAATTGAGCAGAGACTAACAGAAAAGAGATGACACTTTTTAAATGCACTATTTGTTGTCTATATTTTGGTATTTTTTACAAGATGCAGTGTAGATGTGCAACATCAAAACCCTAAATGTGTTTGGGTATTGTGAATGTGTTGCATTTTAGGATTGGTCTTGTGTTTATAAATTAAGTGAATAAATGAGAAATATGTTTGTCACTTAGTTTGGACTACTTAAAACTCCAGTAAAAAGATGAAAAGAAAAAATACAATAAACTCCTAATAACTCATCATTCCAAGGGAATGGATCTCAATGTTGAGTTATCTGGCGAGGCGAGTCAGGCATTTGTATAACTACATAAGTAATTATTGCCGAGACATCGACAGCATGATGACTTAATTGGTACTGTGCTGGCAAGTTTGCTTCTTTCCGTTTAACACTATACAATATTCTTCCAGTCCACTAAAGGATGTGAACTGAAATTATTGTGTAAGAAAAAGCATGGAATGAAGAATACATTATCACAAAGAGCCTCTGTGATGATCTACAACAACAACAACAACTTGGATTTGTATAGCGCCCTCCACCCCGGAGGGTGTCGCAGAGCGCTTAAACAATACATCTAAACAGCGTTCCATTTGTGAGACACAAAATGTATAAATTCTTGTGACCTCATAGTTTAATACACTGGGGAGGGGAAAGCTTTAGTTTGTCAAGGATATTCTAGCAAATTTATTACAAAGTAGCGCATTTTTGGATAGTACATTTCCTCACCATATCATAAATTTGACTCTTGGATTGCAAACACTGGTTACTTTTTGTAGTGATTAGTTCCTATTGTTGAGAAAAAAAAGAGTGCTGAGGTTAGTTGATCATTCTGAATCAACCAATCAATATTGGTATCTATCTGAACTCTGATAATATAGAACCAAAATTTATGCTGCGGTTTTCTTGATTTCTTTGATGCATGAAATAACTGAAATGTTACCATACAGAATAGATTCAAATCTGCAACCTTTTTGTCATTTTTGCTTCATGCTTTCAAATCTATAACTTAGTCATTACTTGCAATTAGTTTCTGTGACTTTGCATTTTCTTCATTGTTTTGTAGATTTTGAATATGCTGTTGTGCATTTTCATCCACAAAGCATTTAGTTATTTTAAAATACTTGTATGAAACAGCGTGAAATAGTTTTAAAATATTTGAAACATGTTTAAGCTTTTGATGGAAATGTGTTTTCTTAGCCGTGTGTGTCTTTACATAGTAAAAAGAATGACTCACGGAATGCATCCTTTCTGAAAAGGATACTATGATGAAGTCATCTCTCTTTTGACGTGGATGAACCACTCAACAGTGTTATCTGCCTATAAAATTACTTAATTCAAAGAGAGCTGTTTATCTTCAAAGCCTTCAACATCAAAAGAGGGATGGTACGAGAAGGGTCCAGCTAGTTGTTTATAACTTAGTTGTTCACCCAGTGATAAATTCTTTGTCTGCACGCGTTTCCTTCACAGCTACATTTGTCAGGAAGTAGTTGATGCATTACTTAGCTGCATTTTGTAACTTCTTGCAGGAAATCATCCTTTTTTTTAAAAAAACTGAAGTTGATCATTGAGCTTCAGCTTCCTTTGTGTGGTGAAGGTCACTGAGTACTGGAATTGTTGCCATGGGGAGGATTTCAGCAGCTAAAGGTAAGATTACCCAGATAAAACAGTTGAACAAGCAGAGATTGCTTATCTTGTAAAACTGGGAGAAGGTAATGATACTTTTGTAGTTTTTGAAGCATGCTGGCCTTTTCAGTGTTTAACGCATTGTGTATTCAAATATTGCAAAACAACAAATAGAAGAGAAAGACTAAAGAAACTCTCTTGGTTTAGTAAGTGTGACTGAAGTCATCTTCACAAATCTTCTCTGAAGGAGAAAAAAACTGGATGTATTTATGGTAACTTGGGGATAACTTTCACCTGAAAATTATTGTGCCAGTTCAATCAAAACTTATTTCTTGCCTTGTCTACTGAAGGCACTCAACTTTTTTTTCCTTCTGTGGACTATTGCTTCACTTGCACTATATGCACGCCTCCTTATCTTGTTCAAATGGCCATGATGGTGAGTTTGACTGGTTATTCAGTTGTCCCCCCAATGTGCCCCCAGCACTGCATTGGAGCATCAGCTAGATTATGTGAGTTACAAGGGCTAACATAGGGCTTGACCCAACAACCTTCTGACTCCACAAGGCCAGAGTGTAAAACATGTGGTCAAAACTTGATCTAGTTCTGCTGGAACCGATTTCATTATCTGTGTGTGCATAATTCGTATCATTGCTCCTTGTGGTCTACTGAGTGAATGGTGCAGATGTTAAAATAGGTACCCATGCAAGACCACATGAAGCCTTGCGGAGTTACAGAACTGTGAGAAGTTTTTCAAGCTGTGGTTGCTGTGGCTTTAAACTGGAGTTGTATAAGTTGTGTTGCTTCTATATTGCAGCAAAAAGCACTAAAAAGCGGAGGCATTGATAATTGAATGTCACTGTTTCCTTTTTATTTGAAGCCCCAGTGTTTTAAGTTGCATGTATTTGTAGAGCAAATGATAAAGTTGTTGGCAGAGATGGGAAAACTCACAGAATCAGAAATTTACAGGGCGGCAGAAGGAAGCCATTCAGGGCATCGAGTCTGTATTGGCTCTCTGATCAGGCTGTATTTTCAATCGATCTGCACCGCCGGCTCCCCATACGCCTTCAAGCCTCTGACTGTCATATTCTCGTCAGCTTCCCTCTTGGACTCTGTCTCCAGGACCTTACTTGGCAAGGTGTTCCACATCCCAACCCTTTCTATCTGGGGAAAAAAATTTGTGCACTCCTTTCAATCTTAATTCTAAGTTTCCCAATCACTGACTCCCCGATCAATGTAAATAGTTTCTCCCTATTCACCCTGTCAAAACCTCTCATAATTGTGTACCTCTCAGTCAGGTCCCCTCCTAATCTCTGTTCCAGTAAAAGCAAACCCAGCTCCTCGAATCTCTCCCAACTATAACCTGGTTACATTCTAATAAACCTCCTCTGCACCGCCTACAAGGCCTTAACATCCTTCCTGAAATAAGGTGCCAAAAACAGATCACAGTAATCCAGTTGTGGTCTAACTAATGATCTGTACAAACTCAGCATGCTCTGCAAATATGTAAGAGCTGAATGGCCAATGAATTTCAACTTGTTGGTATCAGCAAGGAAATCGGACGAATGATCACTGATACAATGGAACATTTTATGTATGATTCATATCATGAACTTTGCTGTTTATTTTCTAACTATTTAGGTAAAGTAAAGCAAGTTCCCAGCTCGGAGTCAGGCTACGCCACTGTTAAGCGCTCTGAGATGCTACCTAGTGTGGAGGGCGCTATATAAGTGCAAGTTGTTGTTGTTCCACATTTTCACCACCCTGTGTGGAAAGACATTCCTTGTAAACTCCCTTTTTCAACTGAAACTAGCTATCATATCTATGCCCCCTCGTTTTGGACTCAGCAACAAGTGGAAACAGTCTATCAATGTCCACCTTATTAAATTCTTTCTTAGAGGTGTCAGAAGAGTGCTTATACTAAGAATATGCAGTAGTTTAATCTACTTATTCACATTTTGTTACAAAAATTGTACAACCGACTTATTGCTAATAATGGCTTTGTAACAGTTAATGTCAATCTTAATGCTTGCTGTATCCGTTTAGATTTTTTTCAATAAGCAGAATATTGCTCTTCATTTTATTTGCATACAATTATATTTAAAATGTGTGTGCAAATTTCTGTAGATTCAAAGGAAAACAGAAAAGAAAAGGCTGGGAAGAGCCAACTGCCTAATAGTCCTCTAACGAACAATGGTAAGTGAAATTTACTTTGTAATTTATTAAGATATCGAAAACGTAATTTGGTGTAAAGACTTTGACTGAAGAGAACCACTTTGGAGGAATTGGGAACAGAGGAGGCTTGCCTAATCACCTCTGAGGAATTCAGGCAAGTTCTTTATGAGCAAACAGCTGCTAGAATTGGGTTCAATTGGCAAAAAAACTTAAGCATTTGAGAATGTCTTTAAATATTCATTTATTGGCTACAATAGTTTATGTACATTTTTTAAAGTATGCTTTGATAATGTATTTAAAATTGTATGGTTTAACTTAGTGGAAATGTATAAGATTCTTGTAGGTGATTTGATTAAAATCTGAAAGTTTGAAGCATTCAATGTTTTCTAAATGTCTTTAGTGCTAACTATAGCTTTCAAATATCAAGTGTATGACTCTGTGAGCAAATGTAATACAATATGAAGGTAACTTGTACTGGTATAATTGCACCAAAATAAAGTATTAAACTAAGTTTATGTGTGAAGTGTTACTTTTGTTTCTAGCTACAAGTTATGCACTATAAAGCACAAAAGTTTCAACTTGGAGTTAAACATTTCTTTCCCACCCCTTTTAAACAACAATGGGCCATTTAATGTGGTTTGGCCCACTGTCAGAAAATGTATATGGATAATTGGCAAATAGAAGTCCAATAGGTGTCAGCTTGGCTCAGATGGTAGGAGCACTTTTGCCTCTGAGTCAGACGTTGTGGGTTGAAACCCCATGTCAGGATTTCGAGCTAAAACTCCATTGGAGTTCTGAGGGAGCACTACTGCATTGTCAGAGGTGCTGTTCTTCAGATGAAACGTTAAACCAAGATCCTGTTCAGGTGAATGTTAAATGTCCCATAACACCTTCTCAAAGAGAAGGGAGTTTCTCTGGGCGGCTGTTTCTCACTTATGGCTGTTTGTGAGATATTGCTGGGAGCAAATTTGCTGCTATGTTTACAAATACATAGTCAATGCTACAGAAAACTGAAGTTCTTTGCAACATTTTGATGTGATAAAGGTGCTATATCAAATACAAGGATTATAAAAGTACTGCATATAGTCAAGCTGTTTGTAAATACCATTTGCTTTCTATTTTTGTCTTTTGCCTACAAAATACAGTCATTACACTTTTCCCCATCTTGGGTAGTAATGTTTTCATGGAGACTGTTTCTAAATACCCTAGTTTTCCTGTAAGTAAGTTACTCAATGTATGATCCACAGCATGCCAAAGATTCGTCGTACTTTATCTTCTGACTGGAAAAGTGCACTATCTGGGGTGGAAATCGGCCAGTCTAATTTGGTTTCGGTTACACTTGTCTGAACAATGATGCATCGGCTGCTGTGGTTATTTGTGATTGGGTGGGGGTATTGAAGTCAGCAAAGTGGACCTGGTTGCTTAGAAGTCAAATTGTATGATTGGGCTAAGCAGTGGAGTGATTTCCAAAATTAATTCCAGTGATTGATTCCCCTGTCAGCTCTTTCTATGTATCCTGACATACTTTTGTTCTCTCATTTTTCATCATTGAAATAGAAGCCTATATTACCATCTAATGGGAGTCTCTTACCTTTCTTAACAATATCTGTTCTTAATATGCTGTATTTTCTTAATGAAATTACTATTAAGCATTTATTTCTTTTTTTCAAAAAAAACTTCAGCCTTGTGCTTATTGGTGTTGCAGGTCCATAACTGGATTATTTTTAGTTCACCTATTTTAAGGTGGGAAGGGGAATGGAAAACAAATCGTGTTCACTTGCTCAAGAGGGCTCAAAACTATTTATTTTCTTGATTTATTTTCCTCTGCCCAAGCCGTACAGCAGGCTAGATTTTTACCACAAATGTATGCTTCTGTTTTATAGAGGTTCATGCTTATAAAGTATAAAGTGGAAGAAGACTACAATCTATATTAAATGAACTGCATTTGCTTTACACTATGCAACAAATGTACCTACTATCTTGTGATATATTTAGGTTTTGAAAGGTTACTTGAAGAGTGGTGATGCAAGCTTTTTTCCCTTTAAAGAACAAACTCTATTACTTAAAAAAAAAGAAAGAATAATTAGAGAATGTACTAAAGATTTATAGTGTTCTCAGGGCCTGTAACATTTTAATTTTTGGTGAACCATCAAAAATTTATTAAGGAAAATGCATCTTTGCAAAGTGCGGTAAACCCTAATTTTTTTAATTGAAATGTATTAATACGAAATGTAATTTGGTGGTGATAGGAGGAGTAGTCGTCCTTTTTTTTTAGAAATGTATAAATCCAACCTCATGAGCTGACAATGGTGTTACTTTTTTAACCCTATTTTTATTTCAATCCTCAATTTTGTTTGAACCGTTGATGCATTTTGGGATTTGGAGCTACTTTTAAGTCTGTTAGCTATTTGCAACATTTAGAACTCTGGTGCCCTCTCCTGGTAGAGCCTTGTCAGCATTTTGGCTTTTGTGAAGCAGAAACAGCAATACACGGCAGTGTCGGAAGTGCTTGTTCCAACGCAGATGATGATTCACTACGCAGAAGATGACTGCAGCATGTGGGTGTTAACATTGACACTGTAATGCAACACACACAGTTCCTTTACATAACTGATTCACTGAGGAGGAGGCAAATCTTAATGTCACCTGGAAAATATTAGTGGCTACCTACATTTTTAATTCTATTTATAAGTCACTGGTATTTGATTTGATGTTTAGTGTGCTTTTCTGTTTCAGTATAGGCCACTTCAGACAAGTAATATCAGCTCTTGGAACAAGAGCTTCTTTTTTGTAAATATGTCTTTGAAGCTGATAATTGTCAGGCTTGTCAGGGGTGTGTTGCATTATCGGCGTGCCGTCCTTCAGATGAAACGTTAAACCGAGGTGCCGTTTGCCTTTTTCTGGTGGACATTAAAGATCCTGTGGCTCTATTTGAAAAGAGAAGGCAGCCAACAATCTCCTGAATAAAATTGGTCACTCACTCCATGGATGTTTCTGGGAATTGCTGTGTGTTTCGTTCATTAAAATCAGTCAATCCAGTTTACATTGTATCCTGTGAAGCTCTTTGGTACGTCTCGATAACATAAAAACTGCTATATCAAATGCAAGTTTATTATAGTCAAGTGATACTATATTCCATAATGTTGCATTTTAAAAGCAAACCATTTCATGTTTCTGCATTTGTTATTGCTACAGTGTTGATATGTACTCATCAGTTATTTACCTTTATAATTTTTAAACTCATGTAAACATATCAAAGGTATTATTAATGATTAAGAAAAAATCATCAGTTGCTGGATTTGTACTTAATACTAAAGACTAGAGGGCAGGGGCTGGTCATAGGTTTAATCAATCCATAGTATCCTTAGTTAGCTGATCTTAACAAGGGTATGATTGGGGAACTACAAATGGCTTCAGTTCCTCTAGGGAAGAAAGTGGTAGCATCTGTCACTTACTATTTTATTTAAATAAATCCTATGAATATGTACAGCAAAAAAGAATTTGAAGATTGACAATTTTGCACCTGAGCTATCTTGTTAGTACTTTTACTATCGAAAGATGAACACAATCCTGTAATGTGTTCCTTGACTCACTTAATTTCTAGTGACAATTAGGGTTAGGTACTAGTGACCCGGATACTATTAAATTAATTGAACCATGAAGGAGCAAAGCATTCTTTTGTATAAGAATCCTTACATATGATTTAGTGACTGTAACAACAGCTTGCACTTGTATAGCATTCTCCACATAGGATATCATTTTGGATGCTTCATAAGAATAGTGTTAAATGCCAAGAGGTAGGTTTTTAACTGGGATTTAAAGATGGATGGAGAGAGGGTGGAATAGAGGGGTAGAGGGATGGAGTTTCAAAGGGTCGGGGCATAGTTGCTGAAGACTCTGCCAGCAATCGGCGGGAGTTGGGGGTGGGGGGGGGGCATAAATGCAGCAGCCCCAAGTATATCAAGGGGACAGAGAGAACAAAAGAGTGTGTTTGGAGAAGAAAGGTGCTAGAAGTTGTGATACAATTCCATTAAGTAGCTTACTGAATTGTTCTCTCATTTTAATTACAGAACATTTTAACTGGGATGAATACTTGAAAGAAACTGGAGCCGTCTCTGCTCCTTCACATTGTTTTAGACAGGTAAGCAATTGCTATTAGAATTTAGAAATGCTACTTTTAAGTCTGCATTATTGTCAAATCGTTAATTCTCTCGTGGGAAATGAAGTAATTGATTTGAAGGATGAAAGAGTCCTGTTGAGTACTTTAAAGCAAATCACCTGAACTTGGTGTTTTAATAATTACAATTTTGACTCCCGAAAAATACATTTTTCAGCAATTAGCCTTTCTTCTTTTGTATACGTTGAAGGCTTAATCCCCAAACAAAAGGGATTCTATTTTGGGGAGGAAAAATGGATCTGTTCAGAAAGACCTTTTCTGTATTTTTGACTAAGAATTTCATGGGAGAATTCTTCATAGGAGCACGAATTCTGAATAATATCTTCAGAAACTATTAGTGGGATAGAGTAGTTATTAGCCATAATAAACCAAGTGATGATCACAGGTGTTTACAAAGACTGTATAGCACAAACAGCCCACTCGATCCAAACAGTCCATATGGTGCTTATATTCCACATGAGTCTCCACCTATTCCTTACTCCCTCGCATGCCGTTTTATTTCCCTCTCCCTCATGTGAAGGAGAGGGAATTCTTCTTGAATACATCTAAAGGTATTCACAGAAATAGCTGGTAATGTGTAGACTTTTCCTTAAACAGGATTGCACCTGTCAAGATTGTTTGAATGCCTCTTTTCACAGCTGTTTACATTGTTTCCTCACTTCTTGCAGCCTAGGTCACCACCCACCAATGAGTTTAAAATTGACATGAAGCTAGAAGCTCAAGATCCACGAAATGTTACCTCAATTTGTATAGCTACTGTGGTTGGAATAACTGGAGCAAGATTACGATTGCGACTAGATGGGAGCGACAATAAAAATGACTTTTGGAGATTGGTTGATTCGTCTGATATACAACCTATAGGGACTTGTGAGAAGAATGATGGGATGCTGCAGCCTCCACTTGGTAAGATTTTATAATTCATTTTCATCAATGAAACCTATTCAGGCCTGATGTTTTCATAATTATTAGATTAATGGAATCACAGATCTATATAAATACAAGTTGTTGTTGAATACTTCAGTAAGATCAACCATGAGCTTTCTTTTTCCATTAATTTGTTTTTTGCATTTGTACCCCTAATTCAGTTTAAGTACAGGATCTACAAGTACAATGATCAAGTTATTTTATTAAGTATGACCTTTGCGTGCATTTTTAGAACATAAGAATTTTCTAGGCGAAAGAGGACCAAGGTCCATCTGGTTCACCTTCCACCATCCTGGTAGTTGCTTGACATATCGAGTCCCAAACTAAATACTGTATCCTGAGATTATTTTCTAGCAGAAATCTATCTAATTAGTTCTTAAAACAAACGTTTTCTGCTTCTACCATCTCCCTAGTTGGCCTGGTTCATAAGTTTACTACTCGCTCACTGAAGTAGTGTCTCCGTAGATTTGTTCTGAATTTACCCTCTCTTCATGACCTCCGGCTCTACTACAAGATAAAACAGCTTATATGGTCTACATTATCTAGTCCCTCAGAATCTTACACCATAATCATATCGCCACTCAGCCTTCTCTGCTCCAGTGAACATGCCCAATTTATCTAATCGCTACTCGTAGTCCAGTCACTCCATTCCCTCAATCATTTTGGTTGCCCTCCTCCGTATCCTCTTGATTGCTGCAATATTCTTTTTATCAGAACCGTACACAGTATTTCAAGTGCAGTTGCACCAGTGATTTATAAAGTGGCAGGATTACCGCACTATTTCGGCTCAATATTGCCCTTTTAATGCATTCCAGCATCTGGTTTGCTTTACTCATTGCTACCAAGCACTGTTGGGATAGCTTAAATTTATTGTTAATCAGGACCTCCAGATCCTTTTTATTTTCTGTACAGATTATTCTCTTCCATTTAAATAATAGTCTCTTCCTGGATTTTTTTGTCCCATGTTACATTTCTCTACATGAATTTCATCTTCCATCGATCTGCCCAATTCCCAAGTATGTTCAAGTCCTTCTGTAAATTATCCTGTCTACCTTTGCAATCTACCAGCTTCATTCTTTTAAAATTTTAAGGGCAAACCAGCAGCATCAATTTAAAACCTATCATCAGAAAAAAATTAATCTTCACCATTATTACTAAGAAGCCCGTGCCCTCTCCCATACTAAGCTCTGCCAGCCTGTCACTCCATGCTCGCTCAGCTACACTGGCTCCGCATCCACTGGCGGATCAAGTTCAGGATCCTTGCTCACGGCCTCCACAGTTTCCCCCCCCCCATCTCCTTCTCACCTTACTTCTAATATCTTTCAACCATAATGGCTTGGCCCCTCCCTTTGCTCAGCAAGCCCTGTCCTACATCATGTCCCCTGCTCTATCTGCCCTATAATCAGCTTCGGTGGCAGGGCTTTCAGTTATTCAGCCTCACTCTGAAACTCCATTCCGGAGACAGTTTGGCTCCATCCCCTTGTTCAACAACAACAACAACAAGATTTCATTTATAGAGCGCCTTTCACGTCGGGAGGACGTTCCAAGGCGCTGGACAGTTGGGTCAGGACCCGAGTAAGGGGGAAATGGTCAGGGTGAGGGGAGGGAAGGGAGGGAGTGAGGAGGGGATAGAGAGTCGAGAGAGGAGCTGAAGGCACGGTCAAAGAGAAAGGTCTTGAGACCGGCCTTGAAGGAGGAAAGGGAGGAAGCAAGGCGAAGGCACTGGGGATGGAGTTCCAGAACCTAGGGGCTGAGAGGCTGAAGACCCGGCCACCGATGGTCCTGTTTCAAGATGTACTTCGACTGTGCATTTAGTCATCTTTCCCCTCTTCACCCCCTTGCACTCCACTCCCAGATCGGGTGCCCATGGTTGAGAGCTTTGAGACATTCTCTCAATGTGAAAGGTGTTATATAACCGTACATTGTAGCATATGTGGAAAAAAATATGGAAAACATCAAGCAAGCTGTACTGTGGGAGTTTCTACCAATATTTCCCTGTATTAAGCTAACAGCCTCAGTTTGGGATGCCCTGAAGGAAGCTTCTCTGCTGAGCAAAAGGCAAATATTGGAAAAACGGTGAACTTGATTTGTCCACCTATTTTTGCATTTAGAGTTTTATTGGCAAATGTTTAGAGCATCATGTTCCTTGACCTTGTTCAATAATGGTCTACGACATTTTAGGACCCAAAAGAGGCAGTGGTGAAGAAAGTTTACTTTTGGTGTTAATTTGAAAAATAGATTCCTATTTTTCCCTATTAACCTGTCCTGGTTCATGCTAGAGAATGGTTCATCGGCATTGACAACTCACCAGAACCTGTCAAAAGTGACTGCTATTTAGGTCTGAACCTAGTCAGCAAGTATAGACAGACTATTTGGAACAGTTCAGCCCAATCTTATTTAACATCAATATTATAATAATAATAATAATAATAATAATCCTTGCATTTGATATAGCGCTTTTCACGTCGGGAGGACGTCCCAAAGCGCTTCACAGAATATACTGTAAAGTGAATTGACTGTATATTTGTGGGCGAACGCGGCAGCCAATTGCGCACAGCAATGTCCCACAGTCGTGGATTGAAAATGACTAATTTATTATTGTTTTGTTTTTTTGGAGGGATTATTATTAGGCGTGTGGAGTAAGGAAACTTGCCCAAGGTTTCGCCCTCTGCCTGGAATTGAACTCAGATCTCTCGCTTGCAAAGCGAGTGCGCTTTAGTATTCCAGTAGCTCAGTGGTTAGAGCACTCACCTCGCAAGCGAGAGACCTGGGTTCGATTCCTGGCAGGGTGAAACCGTGGGTAAGTTTCCTTATGCCACACGCCTAATAATAATCCTGCAAGAGAAAAAAAACAATAATAATTTGGTCACTCAATCCACGACTGTTTGTGGGACATTGCTGTGTGCAATTGGCTGCTGGGTTTTGCCCACAAAATATACAGTCAATTAATTTTTCCAGTATATTCTGTGAAGCGCTTTGAGATGTCTAGAAGACATGAAAAGTGCTGTATCAAATGTAAGAATTATATTTATATGTCTATATGTATACATTATTCCACACACGCACTTTCTTGCAACTATCACCAGAAGGTGATCAGGAGCTGATACTTGGACTATTGTTTTTCTCTGAAGCCTAGGAGACACTGAGGGCAATCGTTATACTGCACCAGCTAAGATTAGCTAAGTAAAGGCCAATAATAAACTGGTCTCTGGCATGCATATCCACAAAAAAAAGCTGTTCCGAGGGAACTGATACACTGCTTATCAAACAAAATGTAAATAGAAGGACTTAGAAGTTGAAAAATGTACGTTGTTGAAATTTGGATGTTGGAACAACTATTTTAATGTTGAGGTCATTTAATAAAAAATATTGAAGTTCATGCTTCATGGATGGATATTTTTTGTGTATTAGCAAATAGTGAAAAATACTTGCAAATTTCGTGCTTAATTGTAGAATGTGCAATTTTTCAAGTATTTGTGTCTGTATTATGTCTTATTGCATTCTCCCACAAAAAACAGTCACTACACTTTACAGTATAACATGTTAAATGCTTTGGGACGTCCTCACAATGTGAAAGGCGATGTATCAAATGTAAGGATTATTATTATTGATCACTTTCAATTTCAGTACAGTTTGGTTTTGAAGCATAACACGTGTGTTTTACTTTGCATGAGTGAACAGGATTCAGAATGAATGCGTCTTCCTGGCCAATGTTTCTACTAAGGACACTAAATGGAGCTGAGATGGCCCCTATTTCTATCTTTAAGAAGGTATAAAAAAAAGCTTAATTACAATACAATTACTTTGGAATTTTTATGTGTTCAGTACCAGTTGTTTTTCTTTATTACACGAAAATACATCTTAACCTGCATTTTGCTTTGCTTTTACTATCCAGTGTTTATTTTAAACAACTGAATTGAAGGTTTTATTATAATTTGTTTTATAATTTAGAGAAAGTGGGAATTAAACAATGAAACTGTTCTCCATTTGTTTCTTTTCATTCAGGTAAATGTGAGCCGTTTGCATGAATCACACAGCATGGTACTAGTCCATCAATCCTCGGGTCATTGCCACATTCGCCTACACAATACATAGTCACTACATTTGACAGTAAAAACACTTTCAGATGTCCTCTCAACATGAAAGATGCTGCAATAAATGCACCGATTATGTATTTTAAATAACAAAATAGGATTTTGGAGATTAATGTATTGCAGCAATTGTCTCTTATTGCAGGATTTTGATCACAGAAACCTATTGCAAACCTCAATCTGAGGGGTGTATTTAGCTTGAAACATGCTTTCAGTTAATACACAAAAACTCATGTGCAAAACATACAGGCAAAAAGCTTCCATTTATAATGTATAAAAGAAAAAAAAAATTGCGGTTCTTGAATCAATAATGCCCACTTATTACACTGTGGTTTATCAAGACTGATTGAAGGGTCTCATTAAATTCCCTTGGAAAATGTGTGTGTGTAATTAGCTAAATTTGCATGGACACAGATAGTTTTAAAGTACTAATTCCTTTTGTAAAAATATATTTTGCTTCATTCAGGAACCTCCAAGTCCACAGGACAATAGTTTCAAGGTTGGAATGAAGTTAGAAGCAGTAGATCGGAAAAACCCTCATCTGATTTGTCCGGCAACTATAAGTGAAGTGAAAAGCGATGACGTTTTTATAACATTTGATGGCTGGAGAGGTGCCTTTGATTACTGGTGCAAATACAATTCTCGTGACATCTTTCCAGTGGGATGGTGCGGCATGACGGGAGACAGCCTGCAACCTCCTGGAAATAGGGGTACGTTTATCACTTTAAACTAAGAAGAATGATGAGGTTTATTGAATATGCAGTACAAATACTGTATTAAAAATGGTACATTTTGTGAATAATGCTGTCCAGCGCCTTGGGAAGGCCTCCCGACATGAAAGGCACTATACAAATGTAATTTTGTTGTTGTCTAATCAAACCAGTTGTTTAGAGCAGCGCGGTACAACCGGTGGCCCATGGGCCACGTCTAGCCCAACGGGTGATTTTATCCAGTCCCGAGACCATTTCAATTCCCTTCCTGGCAAACGTCCTCCCATGGCAGTGGCAGGAGCCAGAGGTTGGGGAGATGCAGCACAGAAAGTGGAAATATTGCCGGCTGTTACTGCAGTGTGTACCCAAACTGGTGGGCTCCATAGCAACCGCATTTTGAGATGTTCTTCTAACATGAAAAGGCTGCTGTGTAAATGTTGTTATGTTTCTGGAAGGAAAACACAAAATATTGCTTATGTGGCTCGTGGACCTTTCTCAAATAGGGAATCCAGCTTGCGGCAGCCAAAATGTTGGACCATCCTGGCTTGGAGCATATAATGCATGAATATTTTAATATTTATTTTATTATTTTAATATTTATTTTATTCAACCATTTATCCAATAACTGTTCGTTGATCAAGTTATTTTTTGCAGCTCAATTTTATCAGTCAATGATTGATTTTAATGAACATTGTGGCACTTTTTATGCTGCAATTCTGCAACTCATTGTGGTAAACAATGTACTTGGTTGTACATTCTGCTTCACTCAATCCCTATGCACTGCTTCAGGATAAAATATGTAGCATTGCACATTTTAAGCATTGTACAATATTCTGCCATTGCACTATACGCCCAAATAAATTGCTAAGTGATACTTTCATTGGTTTGAAATACAGGGCAAGATGTAAACATAAAATAAGCCTTTAGTTATTGTGCACTATCAAAGAAAAGGGCTTACTCACTCATTTTCAGTATTTTCCACATACTGTAGGTTGATATCTACAATTGGAACTTTTCCAAAGGGACATTTTCCCTTTAAGAGATTAATTTGTCACTGTGTGGCACCAGCTATGCTATGCATTTTAAATAACCTTCCCTAGAGTTCTATTTGTTTTTACTCCACTAAATCAACATCAGATTTGTGCTGTGTCTCCTGTTCACAAGAAAAACAGAAGCTGCCTCAAAAATGAAAAGGCTGGCTTCAAACATTGTGTTCAGTATAGTCAAGTCTTCCTAGCACCTGGCAATGCTATGTTACTTATCTTGTTCCCTGGAAATATACCAGGGCTGACTCAAATCATTCTGATTTCTCTCCAATTCAACGAGGCAGGAATGGCAAGAATCTAGAGGAAGTGATGGCAGTGGCTAAATCCTGTTCACAAATTGTAAACATAACCACCTAAGCTGGTGTTGCTGAGATAATCCAAATATTTTTTGAGGTGTTTTTATTGCTATTTACAAGGCAAATTTGTTCTTTTAAGAGGTTTGAAGTTGAACCAATAATGTGCTGAATATAGAAACAGCACTGTTTGTTCTTGTACTACAATCTGGAGTGCTGTCTTTATTGTGGAAATAAAAGAGAAACTGCTGGTTTCTGCCTAATTCATTTTCATTGAAGCATTTACTGACATCGGTAAATATTGTTGTTGGTTAAATGGTGAATATTGTTGTTGGCTATAATAGTAATAATCCTTGCATTTGATATAGTGCCTTAAATGAGACTTCTGCCTCTTTAAAATTGTAAGTTCAATTACCAATCAACTGGTAATGATTACCAATGACTCATTTGTCGGTATCAAGTCTTCATTCCTGGCGTTCCAGTACAGATCAGCTTGGAGCTCAGTCAGCTTGAAGGTTTACAAAACACTTATGTAGTGGCACAGCCTGAAATGTGTCATTGTAAGAGATGAGACCGCAGCACCTCTCTTTCATGGTCACTGTACAATTTTAGCAATTGGGGTTACTGCTCAATTACCACCTAATCTTGTTTCGTGCTTTAGCAAGACATGCCCTTCATGGGAGTCGGCTTCCACACAAACATAGGAAATTGGTCATAATATTTTGAAATCAGTTTACTATCATGGAATAGTGTTATCCCTACAATAAAGCTCTATGATCTTGGCAGAACACTCTTTTCCTGTGGTCCACGGTAGCAGCTATTTTTGTACTCACTCCTAGTCTTGTGAGGTCTCTCCAGTTCAAGCTCCTCAGGCAACATTCCCCTCACAATGATCCCCACTCTCAATCAAGCTTTGTTGTAGACCTTTGAGAGAAATGTTCTTCAAGAAGTTGCAGTATACCTGCCCTCATGCCCCCACCACCCAGCAACTCACATTCACAATCAATGCTTGGGTATACATTTCCTGAACTATTGGTCTAAGATGGCTATTCATTTCCAGAACCATTGATCCAAGGGCAGTGGACTGCACAGCACTCAAGATGGCGCATCAAACATTTAGAATTACTAGTAGTCACGATAGCACGGTAACATTTTGAGCGCCCAGTCAGACAGTCCAGCTGTAGACAAACAATACAATTGGACTCCAGTATATCAATAAATGGAGTGGATCCCATTCCTAACCGCTTTTGTCGCAATGCAGTCCAGATGATATAGTGATTACCTCCCCAATCCTGACCCCCAGCTCGGGTCCGAAACACTAATTGTCCAGCGCCTTGGGACGTCCTCCCGTTGTGAAAGGTGCTACACAAATGTAATTTTGTTGTTGTAGAGCTTCTAATATTGATAAATACAGGGTGAGTTTGCCAAGAAATGTTAGAATGGATCTACTTTTCAATGAATAAATAACTGATTTTCAGCTGTAACCTCATTGAGCCAGCTGTTCAATGTATTTTACTCAAATCTAACAATCCTGAAATATGCTTTTTCCCCTTGAAATGTGGCATGGAATTAGTCCAATAATTTTTTTAAAGAAAAGTTGATTAAATATATGCTTGTTTCTAGACTCTGTTTGAAAATATTTATCAGAAAAACATGAACAAAATTGAGATGTTTTTGACTTGGATTAATAGATTTATTTTTGCTCAGTGCTGATTGAGCCTTGACTGTTGAATTCTCTGTGTTAAGTGTAACTGAGGATAGTTTGAATGACTCTTTACAATGCTACTTCTTTGGAAAGTTATTTCAATCAAGATATCATTGCTTTTGAAAATCTTCTGAAGATGATGTGTAGAGTCATTTCTGTATTCTGCTTGCTGTGTTACCTATAAGTACTTTAAATCGGTTGTGTCAGTAAAAGTGAGATGGCATATTTTCAGCTGGTCCAGTAAGACATAGGCTCTTTGTCTTGTTACAGGGGAAGTCTGGTGGTGACATTGGAGACAGGGTGCAAAATGCCTGCATTGAATGTTAAAAACTTAGTGGCAAAATGGAAGCTTCTTACTGAGGGACTGAATTATTGACCAGTCCCCATTTCTCAAAGCTTCAGTGTGTGTTGGGGATTTCATTAGCTCATTTGGGGTGGAAAACAAAGCTCCTGTCAGCATATTTAAATACCAATTTTTGCTCTAATTAGAGTTGTGCTTTTTTATGTTTCAGGTTGTCGGTTGTTAAATTGTAATTAAATGGATTTAGGTAACTTTTTATTCATATTAACAGTTCGTCTTCTGTGTAAAAAATATTTTTAAAAAATAAATCACTTCAGCCTGAAATATGTTTTTCACGATGGTGGCTGAAGAAGATGAACAAATAATTCAGCTTCTAAACTCAATGGGTAGAATACTAACACTCAGATATGGTAATTAAAGCTTTTTCATACGCCTGTTTAGCAAACTGCTATTCTTGAGCAATGTAGGGATTTCTTTTTGAATTCTTTGGCAAAGTGATATTTATTATTTGAATGTTTTAAAAATTTTTGACCTGTGGGTCATTCGATCAGTCAACGAAATAGAATGTGAAGACGATCAATGAGTTTGTCCTAAATATAAAGCCACCCAGAATTTAACTGTTGTCGTGCTTGTACAAATTTTGAATTTAGTCAATTGGTCTGTACATCAGTCCAGTGTCTGTGCTATATAAAGTAAACTGAATACTCTTTATGTTTGCTGGACAATTGAGTTCATTTATTTCAGAAAAACAGTCAAAATAAAGTGAACTTTGTTCAGCACCATATGAATACCATGTTAGGTGCATATTTTATTTGGAAGAAGAATTATTTGTGTAATACACCCTAATATTCAATAGTTTTAATAACTAACTGCGTGTATTTTTTNATGCCAAAATCATTTAACACAACTCCATTCAGATTATGTGTTAAAATCTTAATGCACTAGAATTTAGTTCAGACTGCTTTGGTTTGGCTGTGATGCATATGTTTCAGAATGGTCACTTTTGTCTACAAATGCAAATGGGTAACCAATTTCGTTTCTGCCTTTTATGGATTCTGTGACCCACTTTAACCTTTTAGCCTTCTTCAAAAGTGGGGGTGGAGACAGTAGGAGCAGGTGACTGATGAGTACTGTCAGTACAGCCTGCAGACAACATACATATTACTTTAAAAAACAACTCTTCTTTCCTCCAACACCCCCCCCCCACCCCCCCCGTCTCTTCCCGCCCCCCCCAAACTAATGCAAATACCCTAAGCATGCTGTTTGCTGATAGTGCTTCAGTCAGCATGAGCTTTGTTGATGCGTTAGTAGGGCCAAAAAAGGGAGAAGTGTAGTCATCAGAAGGAAATCTAGAAGTGGCATTCAGGCATTTTAATTGGTGGAAGCAAAAGTCTTGTTAAGGAATAAATCTAAACCATATCAAGGTAAGCACCGGTAAAGCTTAAAAATCTTTTCTAGCCTTCTATGATTAAATAGGATTGACTAAATAGGCTTTTGTTATTTGTCTAAGGCAGCTATTGTGTGATGAGAGTACAAGTCCTTCAATTCAAATTGAAGGTTCTAGAGTGCTTCCTTTTTCTTTCGCTATGTCAAGAATTGAGAACAAGTGTTGAAGATTCAAACTTGAAGTAGTGTCTTCTGTTTCTGTCCCATCA